ATCAAAGTGTATATCACGAAAAATTGTGTCAAGCTGAAGCCAACGAACAGAGCACCGGCCATATCAATTAGCTGGAACTTCTTAAATGTCAAATAGAAAAATGGGAGCAATTATATGTCACTAGTAATCTAATTTACATCGAGATACCAACCACGATCCGATACGACGATGCTTTTCAAAATGCGCAAATTGTTATCGTTTACCATAGCTTTCAACTCAGTTTGTGAGGTAAGTTAATGTGCAAAGTATGAAAATTCGGTCGAGCAACCGTATCTGAAAATTCAAACAGCGTACTTCAAGGGATTTGCTTGCTGCTTTAACACGATTGGAATAATAAAGGGTTAGTTACCTCGATGTGTCCCTCCTAATGGTTCTTTCCTTCGCTTCGATTATACGCTACAGCCCGACATTGGCTAACAGTATCGTGGGGTTCTGAGCTGCTAATCCTCTTCAGACACGTGGTAAGGCCTGGCGTGTGCCTAAATCGACAGTTTGAATTAACTTAATCGAGCAAATGCGGATAGTTGAACTAATATATTTCCATTATGGCGGTGCCGTGCCGTGCCCTATTGGAACGGGAGATTCAAAACCGCTATCTCTGTCACCATAGACCACCTCTTTGCCGTGCACGCTACTACCCTTTCAGAGAGCAAGGAGGCTTCCTACAAAAGGGAATGATGATAGGGAGACAATTATTTGTTACAACTAGAAACTGCGGTAAACGTATTTAATGTGCCGATATAAAACGGCGCTAAGTGGCTTGTTTGTGCAACAATTACTTTCCAAAATTATAGGCATACATTATCCAATGTGTGCGTAAAGCATAAAATGGAATTCCGTGGAGCAATGCACTCCATATAAAAATAAAGTATCTCCAGCAGCTTTAGTACTCTTTTCCAAAAAATCCTCTGGACCTCGATAATTAAATCAATATTATATTGTATGGGGTAGAGCACATGTATTGTTCGAAACCATAAACACGGTGCCACCTACTCCGTCTTATAGCCTAAAGCGTACCCATGGAACCCAAATGACCCCACGATAAGCAAAAAGCAGTAAATAATACTGTTCAAAATAAATTGACGTTTCCGCCGTTTGGTTACGACGTCTCAGTGGGAAGTAAGCAGCCATATCTCTGATATTGACATAGAAAATTGGCTATAATCTCATATATCTATTTATTATTGTTAATTTTTGATGCCTCGTGCACGACGAATCCCGTGAACCATAAATATACATTTAAGCGCTAAACGAGATTGAGGCAAAAATACTTATTATATTAATAACAATACACTTTACAACTTTTTCTCTGTAGTTTCGAAAATAAACTGGTGAGCTTCTTTCTAATTTTTATACGATAATAGCAGTACACAAGTATCACAGGTTCTCCAGTTTGGCGATTGGCGTTGATCAATCGAGGTCTGAACTAGTTTATAGTCTCCTGTCACTTTAGCTCGGATCGCGCCAAAGTGGGTTTTTTTCCTAATTATGATATATGTGTATCTTTGCTACAGACCGGATCGGATCCTCAGAGTTCTCTAATATTTATTGTCCTCAGAAACTACGTGAGAGCTCTTCCTAATGATTTTGCGCTGTTGTCGACCATGAATTTGTTTATTGGTTCCTATACACTCACATATTATATGTGAATAATTTTCCCATAGAGAATATTTACGCCGCGGCAGGCATCATAAACACGACACCCGGCGGCGTTTCCACTCAAAGCTCCTGAAGGCGGCATGAAAGACAGCATGACGCGCAGCGGAATCCCGCGTACAGATGTACCACTTCTCTGCCACTGTATATTTATACTAAAATTTGCGACGTACACCACAATACAGGCAAATAAACCAATTGCTATTTTTTTCAGTAATATCAATTTCTAACTTGTTAATGCCACAACTTGTTACTAGTCTTGCAACCACTGATCACTCAATATCTTGTTCGATAATAAACTGGTCGACTTGTATCAAATGATAGAGGCCCGATACATTACGATATTGGCTTCGGTCAGTCCTTTGAAAAAATGCTTCTCCGATTTTCATTTGAATTGGGTTTTCGTCTCTCTTTCTCCATCGGCCCCAGATGGTGTCCTCCTTTTTTATTATTCCTGCATCTTTCTCGGCCCTGTGCCTCGCTTTTTTTCTTTAATGGCTTTTAATTATTAATAATAACCAATAAGGGGACTAATAATTAACTGCACAGATTAGTGAATATGTGGTGACAAAAGACAGTTCGCAAACATTTTAGCATTCGCAACACAGTTACTGTCGAATGTTTGCTTTTAGAGCGACGAATCTTCCCTAGCAGAGCTTCCATGTTTCGGTAGCTACATTCCTGTTGGGCATGTTGCGGCATCGAGGTTAGCGTTTGTTCTAATGAAATACAGAGCTAGTAAAGGTACATCTTGCTACCTCACAACATGGTCATTGCTCTATACATTCACAGTTGTACCTCACAGTCCTTCATACAGAGCGCATCCTGATAAGGTCCTCATGGTACCCGAGCCCTTTCTCGGGCTGGGGAAAGTTGTCTAAGATCCTTTTGGTGAGTTACGAAAAATTATATTTTCAAACGATGCTTGAACCATAAAATCGTATTCAATCTCTTGCAAATCCGATAGAGGTTATGTGGCTAATAGCTTATCAGTCCACATAGAGCCAGAGATATTAAGACTTCAAAACTTTTTTTGATATACATATATGCTTTCCTAGCCTAAATAACTAAGTGATATAAATTGTTTGCCCAACGACATCGCCAATAGAGGCCGGTAGAATATCAGACCTCGATCGTCTTACTACTCGGAGATTTGGTGACGAAGCCCATGCTTGAGCAAACTAGCTAGAGTAGCAGATATTACTAGCTTATCAAAGTTGATCAACAATTCACAAATTTGCCGTACGGTAACACGGTATGACGCAGTCGCAAATGGCAGATTCTAGTTCGTGAGTGTCAGGGGTGCCAAAGTCCAAATGGTGTTGACCCTTCACAATGTGATGACGGCAACGAGGTTTGCAGATATGATCGACATCGGAGTGCCCATCAAGTTCTGTGGAATTTATACCCGAAATTTGTTCTCCTATAGTTAATGCGAGACAAAATACAAAAAAAGGCACATCATCAGTTGAGAAACAAGCTGCGGCCGATAAAATACCGCAATCGAACTTGAATTCGTTCATTATTCAATTTTGATTAACAAAAATACAAAACTATCAAAATATCAAATTTACAACATATAAGTTTCATTCAAATAATTTATGCACAAGACATATTTGGATTATTTTCGACTAGTTATTATTTTCGAGCGCAAGTTAAAATGCGGGCTAAATCTTGCATTTGCGCCTTTACCCTCTTGCAGTTGGTAACATTAAGTTGCACTTTGAAGCCCTTCCTTAAGAGTAAGTCCTACATGTCGATAGCAGTAGCTCCTTGGACTCTTCTTGTAGTGGTATCCTTAGAGCTTCACGCAGTCTTGGGCTTTATGACTCGGTGCAGAGATCTTGTTAAAACGACGCTGCTCAACAAAACTTCACTCACGTCTCATGGATCTCAAACGCTAAGGACGTGGGAAAATTTCCTAAGTAGGTTCTGGCGAACAATGGATTGCTTACCACATGGCATACGCTGACTTTTACTAGGTTCATTTTGTTTATTAAAGTGCCTACTCAACAAAAATCTCAAGGGGGACCGACCACATAGCTTAAGAACTGACACGGCGAAAGGACCTCTTTGATACAATCGAATGAGCCGATCATGAAAGTGAAACTGTTTGATATAGTTTTCTAGGAAAATGATGTTGCTAGTAGTATGTAAACCGCGTTTGTCTAGACGACATCTTCAATAATGTCAAAAAAAAAAACCTTATTTAGGTGTCACAGAGGTATGCCAATAAACCATGTAGTTTTATCAAAGCTTATTTTACTAGGTTACCGCAAAGGGCATTTAGATCAAACTATTTTTCTAATACGAAAATACTTGACACCTGTAGCTTTTTCCCAAACGAATACAACACGACGAAATCCTATCGTGACCATTCCAGCACAAAACGAAAGCCGTCTATGCTCAAGCCTAGACAATCTAGAACCTAGAAAGAAGTTGAGTTCTGCTGTCTGGTCGAACTTACATAGTCAGGTTGGTGTTCTGACCAAGCAGGTTTCTCGACCTAGACACGTTTCTTTTCCAAATGCAACTCAGCCGTTCAAAACAATCCCTAGCGGTAGCATCGGGTGCAAGATGGAAATATGTATTTAGTAGCTCACCGGCAAAAAAAAAAGACAAATCCATTTAACTGAGACGGAAACACGTATTCAGCATCTCACCAGCAAAAAAAAGATAAATCCATTTAAGTTTGAATCACGATAGAATATAAGCTATGTATAATGTTTACTCTTTCAGTTTTAATTCGGATTTTGCTCTATCGCACCTCGTCAAAGGCCTACTGTTAGAGATACGACAAGTAAAGGCTATACAGTGTAGGAGAACTGGAAGCTGATTTCGATAAGGCCAAACATAAATGGGCTTACTAGCGATATCAATGAATTTATGCTTAGAAGAGAAGTAGTTACCGATTAGAACTATGAACCTACTTTCTTCACCTAAAAACTTACGTATAGTACGTCTCCTTCTGTCTTTACCAACACAAATGTACTTTTATCTAGCTCGATACGTAAAATAATTTTTATAATGGGTTAGACGAAATACCATTAAAAATATTTCTTACATACCCGCATATGTACCATATTGATTCTTTGGCAATTCTACTGCGCTATTTCGGCGTTGGATTTTTCTCTCAAATTTTGCATTGAACTTTTTTAAAATTTATACGAACATTTTTGAGTTTTCAACCGCAATTTTGCGATTTCATAAAAAACTCGATAAATGTATTTGGCCTCAAAGTATTAGTTAGCACGTTCACAATATTCGGAACATATGTTATACCTTGCCATTGTGGTCGTTGACCATTTATATTCTTCAGCTAGTTAGTAAAGAAAACTACTACGAAACATTACTCACGATTCATTTCTCGATAATTCGGTTTATTCAAGCTTTTTTTCGGTTTATTTAGACTTCCTTCAATTACATTATCATCATAACCAGCATAGTTATGGTATTGTGGCTTGAGGCTGTAATCAAAATAAACGCATATTCTTCAGCAGTCAGGTAATTAAAGGAACGCCAAACAAGTTTACCAGAGTCTACCATGTGTGGTAAATGTACGATTGTTCATTACTGTGTATAATACAGATAGCTGCGTACATCGGCTATATATAAATTCGATGTACACAGACTAACCCTAAGGTGAAATTATCAGATTCGTCTGATGACATATTAAGCACAATCGATGCTCACCCATTATCGAACACCCCATGCATTATTCAATAAATAAATAAAAATTTTATGGACCTTACCTTTTTATCTACTCCACTTAATTATATTTTACAGGATGACAACGTTATATTAGGATTATTTCAATTTCGTCTATTCATACATAAACTATATCTAAATGTGAGCAGATATTTGGATAAAGTGTTTGAAGAAGCCTGTGTTATTAGGAAGATTCGTATTGGACACGTTGAGGTATATATAAACCTCGTCGTATATATTAAGTAATTTCGTCTTTATAAGATAAACTGTCGAGTTCACATAACGAAAAGGGTTTGCCGCTCCGGTAGGGTCCGACACAAAAACATTTGCTATTGGCTGATTTAGGTTCATAACCTTAAGAGAAATCTTCAGCCTCCGCATAATAAGTCTGCTGCTTTGTTCGAGACAAGATAGGCTTTTTTTTCTGGTGCCACACATAATCTATGAACGCACCTCCTAGAACCTATGCTAAGATATCGCTGCCACCGTATTGATTAAATTATAAACAAACACCGACTTAGTAGTACAAACGAGTCAATCGAATAGATGTATATGAAATTATACATGAAATATAAAGGAAATTTTGTGGAAAAAGCCGCGATGCATTGTCTGATATGTTTTGATATGTGTTACCCTCGTACGCTGTGATACTCTGTCGAAAGACTTGCCATGTGTGCCAGTCTGAAAGGTAACACTAACCTAAGAGAAAGAATAATTCTTTTTTTTTTTTTATACCGACGGAATAATTTTGCTCGTCTGTACTATAGATTGCCACAAAGTGCACGACATTAAGATTCACCCCTTAACAATATCGTGATATACAATACATGTTAGAGTACAACACAGAAACAAATCGAAAACAAGATGCTCTTCCCATTCTAAATTTAATTAGCTACAATGAGATATTCCGCGATATCATTGTTATGAAGGATCACATGCGCACGTACTCATATACATACAAGCGCATAAATGGACAGCGGTAACCGCGACTCGAAGAGCTTAACGGCGGTCCTTTGTGTCGGGAAATCGTCCCTTGCCATCCATCTACTGCTCGACGCATAGGAGTGGTTCCCTTAAAACACCTTAAAACGGAATTCGCACCACAGTAAGATGCCATAGATGTTATAGTATAGCAAGATACTACGGATTCAAGACAGGATCCGTAGTATCTTATTTTCTTACGTACACCAGCAGTGTCAATAAATCTGTACTGTTGTACTTGATGAAAGACGGCACATACGACATATCTTCATGCAATTTTTGGTCAGTGTATAAATATAATTTTAGATTTTTGAGTAATAAATAGAGTTGTTTTATCGACTGGCTACTAGGCAGCACTTGTCGAAGGAACTACCTGTGCTTAAGTAGTCACTTCTCTTTCTAAGGCATAAGTTGAATTTCCCTGCCCGTAGACCATTTACCGAATCGAACAAATGAAATACAGCAATGCTTATCTCGCTGATTCCTATTAGACATTAAATAGGATTTTAATTGTCTACATATCTCGCGTCGTAACATTTTCAATGTGTCTGTGTATTTATATGCCCATTATCTCAACGCTCAAAGTTACTAGATCCATTCGCAGCGTGACCGGGCAGACCTTACGTTTAGCTGGTTATGTTATTAAACACGACTCATAAATGATAACATCATCTACTCGAATGAAGATTATGCTATTATCGTTCGAAGTAGCCAGCTACTAGCTGACCTTCGGTCCAATGACTGAAAATGGTGACAAACTCATAATATTGAAGTCTTTTCGATTGCACAGCAAGCTTGAGAATGCCACCTACGCAGAGATAAATGTCACACTTAACCTAGCCATAACATCATCTTCTCCTGTTATCCCTTATTCCTACTATTTCACATATTCATACACCTTCATTTCAATGTTCCTGCCGTGTACGCTTTTCAATCAAATTGTAATAGTTTAACATTACCAATATTCTGTATTGGTCTTTTTGTGTCTGGTTGTTGGTTTGTTTGCCGCTACTTCTACGCTTGTACACATCCACAAGTAAATATGGTCTCTGCATCGTTGAAAACAGAAGACGGAATCTTAGTACATTTTAATTTCAGCTGCGGTTTGTGTATAATAACAGTCGCAGTATGTTTTTCTTTCTACTCATTTATCTAAAAGAAAGTTGATTTAGTCTATTTCAGATTCTCGGCTCGAAAAAACCTTATCTAATGGGAATTTTACCCAATTCAAATGAAGTTAATCAAACATTCCAGGTCGGTCTTCCTCCTTGTTATTCGATTTTTCAAAGAACATGAAGTCGATTAGAAAAGCGGCTGCCATTAATGATGCCTTGACGTGGACATGCAAATCGAGAGGGAACGAGATACCAAAGTTGTCTGAATCAGTGAATGCTTCGCGTAACAGGCCTGACCACTGCTTCGAGATTTTACCGACATTTTGGCCCGTCTGCGCTGAAATCACCTCGAATTCGACGTCGCCACAAATACTAGCTGTGCATAGTGGTCCTTCGATGCGAAAGATAACGTTGTCTTGGGCGTCACGGACAGTAAATTTTGGGAAAAGGATAGACCATTCCTGTCTGACGGATCCAATCACGATGCCTGGAGGTGCCTGTACCTCGATCTCCTGAAGGAAACACGGACAGAAACATGACGTGCAGCGGAGAGGCCGGTACAGATGCATTACCTCATTACCCTGTAGATTTTTAATTTTCATGTCGAAACTGCGGACTGATCCACAGATCATTCGAGTACAGCAGTCGTTCTTTTCCGTAGCTTCATAGACTTTTTGGCCCATCGAGTTCTTAATCGAATATTTGTTGTTCGTCTCAAAACCAACAACTGCTTCAAGCAGTTCAACCTTTTGTTTGATAATCAATTGGTCTACGGCTGTCAGATACTCAAGGCCAGGAGGAACGCCTGACATACTTCCCGGAATCATGGGTCCAGGCTGTTGCACGACCGGAGCTGGGAGCACGAATCTGCAACGCAAAACGCAAAAATATAAACGTTTGACTGGCATTTATACTAGGCAACCTCATAACTGCTATTTGGGTTAAACGAAAGTGTGCGCACCTTGCATACTATGATATAAGTTGGGCAGGTACAAGATGTACAATAGAAAGACTGCTGTAGTACTGTGTCTGAAATGAAAGTTGTGTATTTTTAACGGGCCGTGGAACTTAATTTTGTTGTACATACATTAATCGCTTTTCACCAAACAATTTGTCAGTTGTCACCGTTGATACGGCCTCAAAAAAGTTAAAGCTGTCGGTATTGTGTAGGTGAACGCTCAGTCATCGATCTTTACTTACCCTGGTTGCACAGGTGAAGAATATCCGGGTCCAACCGAAGATGGAGGATATGTAACTGGACCCTGTTGGTAAGGGGAGTATCCTGGAGCAGAACCTCCTGGTAGCGGATACGGCATACCTTGAGACGGTGGATAATTTGGCCCACCCTGTGGGGCTGAGTATGGGAGTGGTGCAGGGCCGCTCGGCTCTGGGTAAGGCGGCGCTGTTTCTTGTGGCGGAGCTCCGGGTTGAGGGTACCCGGCTCCACTCACGTATTGATTGTAACTCATAATGTCTGAAAGGAAGTAACAAAAATAACGAAATATTAGCTAATAAGCCTACGAGGTAGTTAAATTAAAACTTAAAAATTAGGAAGTCCATGGCTATATATTTGAAATTGAATTGATTGAAGGCTGCTTACTTTATATTCTTTTTTTTTTTTATATATAAGCTTTTATAGAAGATAGTAGGTAGCAGTAGCGGGTATTAGGATACTATATTCAACAGCTGTGTAAACAACTAAGGATTGCTTCAAATATTCACTTTTTTGTATAGCAGCTATAAAACTCATCGTTTCTAAAGTATATCAAAATCATTTTACCGCGTGTTACGTTTTTGAAACGTGAAAGCTGCGCTACGTGATAAAAGTACGTTTTGGCATCTGCCAACCTAATGTAAGATAATTTAATAACTAATTATCCTTAAAAATTACTTCGTTCTAGACAGTAGGTGTCCGTCCACTGCTACTGTTTCATGCTCACGGAACTCTTATATTATTCGATTTTATATTATCGAGATGCGTTCTACTTTGTGTCGGTATCACTCGATCGATCTATGGTAAAAGAAGCAACTGGCAAAAAGTTCCCCTGATAACTCATTCTTTGATATGTACCTATAGTGCTTATGTTTTTACTGTTATATCAACCAATACGAGGGAAACAATTACTTAACATGAAGGCCAATATTTCAATACTGTCTGTAACAAAGGTGGTAAAAAGAGAAGATAGCGATTTTCACGATAAAGAATTAATAAACTCTTGGACGGCACCTCCATTGCCTGTCAACAGACTCTGGAGCTCTGTTTACTCAACTTTGTCCTATTTTGCAATACACGTCCAGTAAAGGAATTTCAAATGTAATATGTAAAAGAGCTATCGCTAGTTGGTGCTGTTAGGAAGCTTTTTCTGTCGACTCTCAGTTCGGTCGATGTGAAGAGCTTACTTAAGACTATGACAATATGCTTATTAAAAATCATTTGTCGTGTAAAGCTACGTATTACTCATATCGCTACATCCAACGCGGAAACAGTTAATATAAATATTTGCTTTAATAACAAGACGCCAGCCCGCAAGGCATCAGGCGACAGTTGGAGGATTAGTGCAACTACCCGTGTATATATATATATATATATATATATATATATAGGTCGTGGTTATGGTTAAGACGCTGCAGTCTGTTGCTCTGCAGGCAACAGATTGAGCTCTGTCCATACAGCATCTGAGCTGCATGCTTTGCTAGATACGTTATTCCGTTTAATGTTGCGGCATGTGAGAGTACTTAGAGAAAATTGTTGTATCCCATACAATTCTACTCTCCACGCACGCACGAAATACACAAGTACCGTCAGCTTCTAGTGGCCTTTAGAATAAAACTGTTAGTATATATTAATAAGCAATTAGCCAATGTGTATGTAACGTGAATTTATTATATCACCGTCTAGTGCGCCGTCAAATTTTTCGAATTATAATGATTTTTCTGGAAACTTAAGTAAGCGATTGCTCAGCTAGCTCATTTCATCTTTAATGAACGTATCATGTGCACAGAAATTCCAGAGCCAAGCACCTTGCCTCGCCTGTGATAATCATTCAACACTGAGCAAGCGGTTCATTACCGAAAACCTGTTCCTTTTACAAAATTAATGTTCCACATGTTAGCTGAGTTAGTCGGGGACTAACTATTTTGTAATGTATTGCCGCAGGCATGTATGCCCAAGACAGGTTTACCACTTGGAATCCATATTCCCAGAAATCAGCCGAAATGACCCAAATAACAAAAATAGTCATTCTGATTTTTTTTGAGTTACATTTTGTGACTAGCGTAAATGCCCCGCACACTTGTTCAGTCACGCGTATCATTTTTTTCTACAGCTAGTAGGTATACAATTGAAAATTAACATTTCGGCTAACTACACACAATATGGCGTGAAACATTTCAGAAACGTGCGCGTGTTTGGTACACATCCCCAATTTATCAGTAACTGGTCATGATAAACTATACTGATCGCAAAACCAAGCAAATAGATCACTACGTTCGTGCACTGTATCCTCGAAGCTAGAAATAACGAAAGAAGTAAAATGAAAAAACATCAAATATATATTTATAGTACTTGTATATTTATAGTATAGTATTGCAAAATGGACGATAGGTCGCACAGTAAAAACATTGGCTCTGTCAAAGATGCTTTCTTACTGCTATTCGTAGACCCTTTTTGAAGATTTCTATAAATAAAACAAAAGCCAATTTCTTATACACAAGTGAAGCCGTTTTGACGCTCGTATCGATCAGCATGAGAGTATAACATTTTAAATGGTCTCATTCTTTATATTCCCAAATCACGGACAACATGCAGGTATTTAGGCTTATTATTAGCATAAACATTTACTTTAAACCTCTAGGTTCCAAGTAAGGAAAACTAGCTCCTAAATTAGAATTTTCAAGTTCGTACAACATTGATGCCTCAGTGTTGTCGAGTCTCATCGTTGGTCTGCATTGATATAAATATAATTTAATTGTAAAGACCTTTCTTGAAAACTCTTTCATTTTGCGGAGCATTTGCGGCATTCTCACTTATTGACATTGCTGGGATGTGCTGTAGCTATATTTCTTACCACTTGGGCTATTTCGGCGTAGGTTATGATGGCCTAAATCACCACTTACCAGCGTTTACTTCACAGCAGTTTTGCTTCGTAGCTGGACGTAGAGACCTTCCAGTACCAGGGCCCTTACGACCTGCCAGTTATCAAAAGGCCTTTTATGTGATCACTCTACCTAAATTTACAGCAGGCCGGTGAACGGTGATAAATGAAGGCTTATATTGATATCCTTACGACACGCATTCGAAACACTGACAATTGCACACTTTCTTTCGGAAGTTCAAATGCGTCACTGGCTTACTCCATAGCTGCTCGGAATAATAATATCACACTTTTAGCACTGCGTGTCATACACCAGATGTTATCTAATCAACGTTGTTCAAGATCCTGTTTCGTCCAGCGAGTGTTTCCGCTAATAACTATATTCAAAACACGCACATGATAGTAGAAATATTGGATAGTATGCCAATATGCAGATCTAGTGCCGCCGTTCGTTCGGTTCCGCTGTTGTACATATGTACGTGCCTATATTGGCTGCGTTTTTCGATGCTGTAGTTATTGCAGTCCCCGTCACAACTGACTCGCTTTTGAATGAAGCGTGGCTCCGCCTGTCTCGAGGCCTTTGTTCGGGCGCGAAACAGTGGTCTGACCGTTTAAGCCACTTGCTTTGTACCATGTAACATCATGAGCTCTGACACTGCTGTCGTTTCTCGGCTACCTTCTTTCATCTCTTGTTTTCTTCTTGTTCTGCCCTCTCAGACCCGATGACGACTACAGACGTGTATGTATCTACTATGAGCTGTTGTTCGATTGACAGTGTTATTCGTTGAACCGGTGTTCGCTTCGGTCGAGCAGACGGCCCAGCGCGGCCTGCCTGTCGGATAGTGCCGAGAGAAAGACGCGAGCTTTTTCATAGCCATAGATGGCTGCCTGCCTGCCTGACGAACTTCCTCTCCTCTCACATCAGCAAACCGCCCGCTATCGCAGCGTTGGGTAAGGCCTAAGAAATTCTTCTCGTGACGGTGTTAGTCCACAATGTCTCGGTTGCCCTGAAACGGTGACAGCATTAGCAATGACAGGTAGACGCTACGACATGCTAAACAAGCTCCGCTGCGGGGCACACGCGTACAGGTCGAAAGCTAAATTTTGTTAGCAATAACGCTTGACTGAGGCTGTTGCGGAACTGAACGGAACTTGTGAGATATAGCCAGCTTGAACTACACTGCGGCTGCCCGTTGTTTGCCGCATTCCGAACTGTTGGCAACTCAGCTGATGGCTTTGTCCGCAGACAGCTTTTCCAGCAAGCGGAAAGAACGATGGACCGCTTTTACCCCTCCGCCCACAGATCGTCCCTCTCAGCCGCCAAATGTGACGTCAACATGAATGGCAGGGTGAGCGCTGCCGACACTCCGTAAGACCGTAAGCTTATGTAGATATTCAACCATAAAAAAATATATACATATATATATATTTACAGATAGGCCCCGCTTTACTGCTTGGTGTTATATTGGGGATACAAGTCAGAGTAAAATAGGACTAGATGAAGGGATAGAACGCAAGCAGCGTTACTAGATTGTGTAGCGCTGAGGAAGCAATTCATGAAGTAGTGGACTAATTAATATAGTCTAGCAAAGGATCGCTCTAAGTAAGAGATGACAACGGTTTTGGAACTGCAGTTGAATAAATCAACTGTGGCTAAATTGGATTCGGGACTGGTATTTGCTTTGCAGCAATTGGCTAAAGTACTCCTGATTGGTTATGGTATTTCAATTGTACCTATAATCGGATGCAATTTATACAAAACAAGTAGATTGTTGTAGTATCGAACAGTATGAGAAAACGACGAATATTTGTATAGATGTTCCTTAAATAGTTTCTAGAAATTAATATGTAGCGAGCCGAAGATGTGTTTCATCCCTAACTACGTTTATAAAAAGCCATTTCATGAAGATTTCTTTTTGCAGAGCCAATGTTTGTTGGCAATCGTAGAATTGGAGTTGTGTTAGAATATTTCTTGTGACGACGCCCGATAGCGCCGCAACTGCAGTGGAGTCATTAATGTACTTCTCGCTCATCAGTGCCGTACGTTTGATCGTGACGTTGGCAGAAGCAGAAGACTTAGTGAGTCATCGGGAGACGTCGAAGTGGACTGTACCCTAAAGATCACGAGAAATTTCGCGTAAATCATAACTCTGCCCAAATTGCAACGAAATAAAGGAAAATAGTCTTTGAAAAACTATACCGGCTGTCATCAACTAATAGTACAATAAAACTATCAAGCGTTCGGAATAATAGAATTATGGTATTATGGAAGATTAAGAAATTATGGGCAAAATTCTGCTCAGAGTACGCAAAAATTGGTTAAAGGTTCAAGCAGATATTGCCGTTTTAGAAAAACATGTCGAGTCTTTCTTTTTTTTATCCTGAGATGCACTCTATTATTTAGATATGCCTTTGGAGAAGGAAACGCGTGAAATGTCACACAGAAGGTTACTCGCATAACCGCAAAGGTTTGATAAGTCGTACATACGAGCACCTTTTCTTCTTAGCATTTGAAATCATATCAGACGACTCGCAGTAATCATGATGAGTTTTCAGATGTAAGCCTATCGAAGAGGGTCGGTAACTGCCACTTGCTTCATCACATTGTGACATTATTGCTATCTACGGGCAGATCTATGTGGTAGAAAAGAAATTTGTGTTCTGTTTCGCTGCACTCGTGACGTCAAACTAACGATGACTCATACACTTGACGACGCCGGAAGGTGTGTTTCACTCATTATGTGGATTAGTCAGTCGAATTCAATTTAACGAAAAAAAACCAAGAACGATATGCAAACATTTTATATAATACAAAATCTAGAACTAATTATAGTTCGTTATTTTCATGTCTGCTATTAATAAAAACTGAGAAACTAATAGCGAACGGGTGATCGCTCTCCGGATTGTTGCAACAGTCACCTTATTGTTCATTTGTTACCCACCGTTGGTTCCATTGGCTACAATAGGTCAAACTTTATTACGTGGCCAGAGGAGAAATGGTAAAAACAATATTATTAAGCCGAAAAAATTGATATTTGCTGTGTCATCGACCGCAAAATTATGAGCCAATAGCATTAACGGAGTTAGACTTTTGAATGCAAACTATAGGTAGGAGTGGTGCCATCTAGAGTAAAAGTTCTCGATATAATCTAATGTTTTTATTTTTTAGATACAAAGAGGTATTTTCAGATCACCTGATAAACGCATTTTGCATTAAAACGCGCCCTTTGCGATTTGTTTCTATAAAGTGCCTCAAATGCTTGACTTTTGCACAACGATTGAAACAGTCGAATAAATCTTTTTTTTTTTTTTTTTTTTTTTTTTTTTGTGAATAATATTGCCTTGTGATCTTGTATTAATAATCCTACTTAAAAATATCAAAGATCCTTAGGAAGTTTTTTTTTTAATAAGTCGTATTTGATAAACGAAGGCGGTTTTCAATCTAATCTATATTGATTTTCAGTGATTGAAGAAAAGTTGGAAAATGACAGACGAGATTCGTCGAGTTCAGAGAGAACACTTTCCGAAACCTAGATGTTTAAGACGCTTAATTGCTACCTGGGACCCGCTATTATTTTTGGTAAGTCTCGATCTAGCCTTCGCATATTTTTATAGAGCATTACCAAGTGTCGTCTATTAATCTCTCTATGTTTTGAACTTTACGTTCGGTATCGCCGTTAGACATTTCATCGGACGGATGGCTCCCAGCATGAAACGAAGTCTGCCTGTCTATGGCTGGGTTCGAACCTAGATCTGTCGTCTAGTATTCGAATAAACCTCAGTTCTAGGTACCTAAATATCAGCCACTATATGTTGACATAATAGCAGTGCCTTTTAGTGTTATCGTATCTGTAAAGGTTAGCAATGTACGGATGTTTCTGTAGGTGGCTGACGCCGCAATTAATTTTTTTAGAAAGAAGAACAGTTAGAAAGAAAGAAAGACGGTATGTGAAAATATTAGTAAACAAAACATATTGAAAGGTCTTTCTAGAGATTTTAGCAAACGATGAAAACGGCTAACGCCAAATTTGCCGGCCGAAGTTTTTACCTGGACTTCGTCTACTTTCCCAATTGTCTCGATAACTGTTCGCGTTAGTCAAAAAGTATGTATGTTGGCATACAAGTTGCACGTTTGAAAGCCTAAAAGCACAAAAAGTTGTTTAATCGGTTTCGTAGGCTGACTGATGCCTTTATTTCCGACCAGGCAGCAATCCACTGACGCAGCCAAGACGTCAAGAACACAACACCATGTAGCCCCGGTAGTATTTGCTATCGCTACTGTTTCTTTGTTATCAATTTTCTTCCTTGTCTCAAATCACCGATTTCTTACCGATACAACAACAATTGAAATTCACGTTATGTAAAGAGTTAATCAGCACCCCACAGTTGAGTTGAAAGTTATCAGAAAAGCTCCACGATAGTGCGTTCATTACGGCTTGGTTTTGTCGGTGACCTGACGTCTCGTCGAAGGCAAATACAGGGACTAGATAACAAAAGACGACAACTATTAGACAGGTTTTGACAGACCTACTTATATGCACATGTACACACGTTTGGGTTAACACGGGCAGTTTTCAAAGCAATCGGCAAAGCGCCTCCTGAGTCTTTCTATTTTAACCTTATTTCCGTAGCATTTCCTAACTAAACTACAATAAATGATATCAGTTGTTTTTCAACTATCAATTTACTAACTACTGTGATGTAACATTTTAATGCTTGCTTGAGAAAGGCACGATTGTACCTCAGCTCTTTGAGATCAGGTCTATCCGATCGTAGAAGTCTGTTCAATGGCTGGTGCTTGTTAAAATTAATGAATTTAGCTAGAACGAATGTCTCTAGCTTTAATTCAGGTCTGTAGAAGGGCTGGTGCGTACGAAATATCGTGTAGACCCTGACTCCGAAGCTTCCTTGGTAAAGCGTAATCGTATTAGCTGTTCCATTTGACCGAGACTCTTTCCGATATAATACAGTCAGTTTAGTTCAAAGATCAAAGGTCATTTTTCCAACTAAAGAGAATTTGTTTGATGAAAAGGTACGACCGTTTTAAAATCTAACTGAGAAAGTGACTGATTACCGATTAATGCTTCACATTGGTCTCATCATACTACTTCGTCGCAGCAATGGCCGGTTTAATGCGTATTCAATCAATAGTAGCAATTGCCCTGCGTACTAGGCCCGGCAACGTGGTAGCTGGCAGCTATCTTCACGTGAGAAAGCCTTAATTCAAAGCTGTGTTGCGTAGACTACACACAGTTCTCTGCACACGACTAACAAGGTTACGTAGTTATTATGAATCTGTTCGAAATAACCACTGATATCGTTTGGTCGTTACGATAGCTTTCTAGTGAACTAAATTTCACACTTGAATTTCTACGCTGAAAAACCATCTATTTGATGCATATATACACGTCCCCAATGTCAAGTATATATCCATGTCTTATTATATTATGATAAGATTTCATTTTAGGTATACACAGGTAGTATGGAGGCTCCAACACAATGCAATCTGATTGTTATTTTTTCGTTTCTGTTTGGCCTTAGTCGGCCTTTTCGGGGTCACATTATATTATGATTTGCGTCTCACCTAAATGGTACATTTTGCATTATGGTTTGTAGGTGTTGCACCATTCTTTTGCGAGCTCTTCCCACGCGTCACTTGTTTTAATTCGTTTACACAGCGCATCCTTCCTGCTTGCTTTTTTTGCCGCTATACCATTAACAGTAATTATTCCCGATAAAGTACAATCTATATATATATATATAATTATGATATCCTTGTTAATAACATAATTATCCCTATCACTCAGTGTTGTTCACAATTATACTTCGAGCTATGTTGAATATTTATCAGTTACTACATGTATAATTACCATAGTGGTTATGATCCAAGTCCTGTTATTACAATTAGCCCTATAGTAAGCTATACATGGTTCTTAACTTACAGACTTAGTTGTCTGAATTGCATTGTCCACAATTGATAGGAACCACTTGGGTGATACCAAAATGCCTGGAGAGGTCATCGCGTTCGTGTGCATCTTGTGAATTTGCTGCTGCTGCTGCTGCTGCACGAGTGTATGCAGCTTTTGAGGTTGGTGTCAGTGTCACGTTCATATCATACATTGCTGAACTCAGATTTAACGTCAACACGTGAAGGCTAATTTTTTTTTACTGAAAACTCCGCAATTGATGTCCATTACTATCGCTATGTATTTATCTCGTCCACCTTCCGCCAATAAGCGATTGGAAACATCTTTTTGCAGAAGTCATTGTCACCAATCTGACTAAGGAAACACTAAAAGCTGTGTATATACATATATACACTAACAACGTATTCATTCATATAGTGCCGATTCAACAATCGTACACCGAGAGTATCACTATAAGTACAAACACAATGGCAGCTAATAGCATATGATTAGTAAGTATAACCCCAGACATAAAAATTACTTATTTTTATTTACTTTTTTTTTACTTATTAAAAAAGCTCCAGGTCTATTGAGGTAGGATATTCATAGTGCAGAATACGATACGTCAATACCATTCGTTTCGCTATGCTTCGAGTCGGATAAACACGGGATTAGCGCCGCACCGTGCAGAGCTTGAACAGCATTGGACATGACCACGCACGCGAGGTCTTATTATGGTTTTGTTTCACAGACCGAATAATGATAAATTATACATTAGTTTTCGTTCGCCAGATTATTCTTTCAATAGATTCGGTTGCTTCTCTTTCGTGTACTATAATCTACCGTATGGAAGAGCATTTACACCACAGATTGAAGCTGCCTCTGATAAACAGAGATTCGAATTAATTAAGCCCGACACCCTTCTTAGAATGCTTTTCCCTACTTCAACGGCTATACTACTATCCCCAGTTTAACCCATCTATGCCCGCCTCTGGGCTACTTCCCCGTGCTACTATTTCGTCAATGCTACTGTATCGTTGTATGTATTTATATTTGAACGTATGTAAAAATTCAGTGTAATAATTATATTAACGGAAATTAATATTACTGTGCTAGTATATATGTGCGTGTGATAGTCACGACCTCTTCCGCGAGCTGATACTTTTGGTTAGTTCTCTTTTTTTTTTATTATTATTATTATTTGCTTGATTTTCGTTTTAGGTTACATCATTGTGGCTAGATAACCGCCTATAATTCGCTTGAAGCTCGGTGAAATAAGCCTTGACATATATGTGTACACATCTTGTTATTATTATCGGCTTTACCTTCGAACCTGTATTTCTTGCTTTTCGCATCGTTTTTTTGTTTTCTCGTTATTTATCTCTTCATCACCACTACTACTACTACTACTACTACTACTACTTATTTTCACACATTTCGCGATGTCTGTTTTTGTTGCTGTTATTATCTTCCAATACCACGTGGCCATCGAACCCCAAACAACCAACCTTCTGGCAGGTAGTTTTTTTCTTTACTTTCCACACATTCCGTCACAGACGCATTAGCTCGCGTCAAATTCTCTCTCTTGCGCTTTTAAAGCTCGTCATTTTTACCTTTGTGTTTAATTAAGATTGAATGCTTTACTGCGCTGTCCACAATGTGGCCTTTGAGTATCCACTTCTCAGTTCCCACCACCCTCCCATCTCATGCGCGCTTGTCGTTTCGTACTATTAGCTATCTATATTTCGGCGTGCCTGATCACACTACTGCCGGGTTTCGCACGGCGGGATTTCGAAGGACGAGCGCTGTTTTCTCTCTATCGGTAGTCGCATCGTAATCCCTTCTTCACTGTTATTTATAGCTTGTTTATATCTATTTACAAGTCAGGTCTCGCGTCATTTACTGGTCTCTGGTCGTTGACATATATGTGTGTATATATATATATATATATATATATATATATATATATGCTTTCTTTAGTCTTGCATTTTTTCAAGCAAGGCCACAGCAAAATCTCCTAAAAGTTTTTTGCCTTCTCCCAAGCAGAAGCTGACACATGACTTGTCAATTTAGTTTACGTTTCATCACGTATGAATTTTTTGTGTATTTTCTTCTGCTATTTACAATTATGAATCATAGTGTTTTGTTTATTATGTTCTTTATTTTATCACTACGATCTTTGTCGCTTGCTTTTAACCTACAGCTTTCGTCTGCAATTACTTTGTAAATCACAAGCAAGCTCCATTCTTCTCTTTCTGCTTTCTTTTTTCCACATATTTAGTGTATCCTACGCCGGTTTCGGCCTTGAGACGTATTTTGTTTCGTGTCTCCACTAGAAGCTCGAAACTTTTTCTTATTATCAAAACGTCACTAGGTTACAGAGTTAATACTCTGCAAGTCAGAGTATTTAGTTGTTGTTGCTGGATTTATGTTATTTAAAACATCCGCATAGGCTTTTTTGACAGCTTTGCCACAATAAAAACGGATTGGTAGTTCAAGTCATGTCAGAGATACGTGTCTCTCAAGTACGACGTGAATTTTTTTGAAGCTTTATTGTTTGCTTTTTCTTATAATAAATGCCGCCTCGATCGTTGAAGCTGCTTAATTGTTTCGAGCGGTCGACTTACTTTCTCGTTCTTGTTGTTATGGTCTGAAATGTAATGTCTTACTTTTAGTGATAACTCAGTGGTTCGCTGCTGCCCTAAGGGCATGTTGTGCCTTTTACATAATCCCTATATTTGTATTAAATGTTACGATTTTCTCAGTGCTTTCATAGATGCCATTGTTGAATCATTGGGTTACCTTAATCACGACTGGTCTTGTGGCTCGTAGGCACCACTTTTACATAGTGGCTCCTCCTTCTGCCACAAACGATAGATACTCCATTCACCAATTCTTCAATCTACAACCTCTAGGCTAGGTACATATACAGTTTTCTGTAAAAAGACAACTCAGATACAGAAGCAAATAGTACTAACACCGTTAGAATTAATGTGAGTTCGACACGATCCAAAATCCGTTGAACACTACAATACGATACGTACTATACAATAATAACATGTTCAGAATAAATATCGGGATAGCTGGGTTGTGCTAGCGTCACTTACCGATTTAACGCGGCCGACTACAAACCCCTTGATTAGAACAAAAGATACATATAGCTTATAAATAAAACGTTTTTTAAGTATGAATTGCCTAGCTGGTGAAATTATTCCAGGATGATTCAACGCGGATTCTAATGTCCTACATCGCTGTCAACCTTCAAAACAAATCAAGTTTTTAAATGTGAAGGGCTTTTACCGCTAAGAATAATTTCTACCGTTGAACGATTTTTAGAGTTCGCCCAATATCCGGGGAACCAGACAAGTACCACAGAGCTCAAAGTACGGCTTTGGTTATTGTATTCATACCGTAGTCGATTTTAGTTCAAATATTTCTTGATGAAAATAGTGATTGACCAGCCGTTTCATCGGCCGTCTTATTAAAGTTACATATAACATTGTACAATTTATTTCGTCATTTTATTTCTTACGTTCCTCTTGTCTCTTACTTAATCCAGTCTATTCTGGGATCCCGCCAGTCCGTATCTTTTGCATTATACATTCACTTTATCAAATTGAGGCTTGCTTCCCTTCATTTAACCGTGCCGATAATATTCGGCCTTAATTACAAAGCAACGCCCCGCCCCGACTGTCCAAAACGGTATCATGGGATACCTATCGTTGCCTTTGATGTTGGCAAAACGAAGATGTCCACTACGTTCCCTTTTAATCCACTGACTCTTGATTCATAAGCTCTGACTCGTCGACGCACGCTTCGTAGCGTTGCCGTGGCGTACGCCGACGAAACAAACATGTCACCCTATTAGTCACCCCCAGCCAGGTCCCGGAAGAAGGGGCACAGCCGCCTTAAAGTTTAGCTGTCGGCATAGCTGACTCGTCGTACTTCCGTGAAGTACGTATACCTGGTCCTAGGGTAAGGAGGCAAAAACGATTGTGTATAAACGAACGACAACACAACGCTAGAGAGCAACGGTGTTAACAACATCATATATAAATGTCTCAAAGATATTTAGATACACGTATTGCTAAATGTTATTGATTTCACACAATCGCTACCTTGAATAAGGCACAGCCTTAGCCAACTCGTTTCTATTAAAAACATTACCCCTTACAAAAACCTTTAGAGGTGTGTTTCGGATTAACTTTCTCTAACAGTCGGACTAGCAGTCGCAAAAAAGATATATTCACTTGTCGCCTCTTTGAGCAGAATTATATCAAAGGGTTCTTTTAATGCGGGACATATATTTGCCGTAACACGGCTTCTACATACAATAACATTCCTCAAGAGTTTCAAAAACTACTTTGTAAATGATTGACTGCGGCATCTTTTGACGACAGAGTTCAAATGCCTCTCGATAGCTTTGTTATCGCGTTGTACCATTGCGGAGGTAACCATAAGGCGGTAAAAGATTTCACACACGTCACGTTCTATTGTTAAAAGGTGTTTTAAATCAGGAAGCGATAAGTGACATGGAAACAACGGCCTCTAAAAGCACTCTTTGGTTGAGAGTACTGCCGAAGGCGTTTTTCGCGTTAAGGAGTACTGTTTCTTTTGCAGTTCACAATGCGCAGCCACTCCTCCTCGCTAAGAATGTACAGCATTTCTGGAAACACCTTTGTAGGAACATCCATACTTTTTCCGAAATAGAATTTCTAGGAATTCTCCTTTGGTAGACATCGAAAGGATACCAATGTGTGAACACTGGCCTGTTTTTCGGGCTTAGATGTTTGTTTTCGTCATAACAGATCATTTTCTTAATAGAATTGTCTGTTGTCCCTAACAAAGCACTTGAGATATAGATCAGCAGAAGCATATCCACGTCACGCTTTTTTGTGAAGGAAGATTGAATAGATGACTGTGTGATCTCTAGAAGCCGAACTACCTCCTCTGATTGACACGAGCCTTTATTTGTAGCGGTTTCTGCGAGTATATTGAATCCATTTTCAAAATTCTTTAAGAGAAGAAATTGCATCGAATTATCGAACCTAACCGGTTCCCTGAATTTGTTTTTCTTCGGTGCAAAGGCCAGCTTCTGTGCTAGGTCAATGACCGAATTAAATCTCTTTAGAAGAACCTGCAGTACCTGGCATTCGTGAGTCGAACAATTTTGCGGGTGGACATTTCACGACGCTATTACTACAGGTTGCCAGTAACCTACTGGAGTCGCGCAATGAGAACTTTGTTTTCACGAAGTTCCATAACTGGCCTCTTAATTGGATGTCAGCTACATTCTTTCCAGTGTTTCTGAAGACTTGAGTCGCGTCGAATGGCTCATTTTAGTTAGCTCATTTGATAAAAATACATCGTTGAGTATGTCTCATCGGTAATGTACAGCCAGTGGAAACTAGGCGTTATGGTAGTGGTGTTTCCGCTACTTAATTCCGTAATAGCGAAATCCCGGTTGCGTGAAACGTCTGCGAACTCTGACAAGCCTTCTATCGCGCCCTAAACAACTCTTTGCTATATCAGCTTCTGTAAACGAGCTAGAGCCTTCGGCTGGAAAGCTGCTTCGGATCAACCGAAACTTCTCTGATTCCCCTCGACCCGTGGGTACAAGCGCGACGGCTAAAGCTTTTACGTTCGTATTTAGTAACAGAAAGTGGAATATATATACATTAGCACTCCATACGTAGCCCAACGTTCGATGAATAAAAATCCTTCCCACACCTGGTTATTAAGCCACTATGCCTATTCCGCTGTTCTATATGTGATATGATTGCTTATTACTTTGAACCTTATTTTCATTACATTGATTGCATTATTCTGTGCTATCAGAAACCTATCACAAATGTACCGCACATGTCACGATTTAATCTTTTTGGTATATGTGTTTATATCAGAAGTTCAGTTTAAAATATGCTCATTATGCTCTATTAAGCCATGCTGACCCGAAATAATCTATAAAAACCGAACACCAACATACGAAAGCATTCTCTGAATTATACTTTTTTTTTTCGTCGAAGTTAAAACCTAAATGTCGCAAGCAGTACAGAAACAGTTCTACTTGCGTTCCTGACTTCACTAAGTGTTTTTCGAAAATTTTGAAGTCAGACTTCAGTTCTTGTTGGCTGACCCTCAAAGGCGATATTCATCGCCTGATTGATTTTACTGTACAGCTTAATACGGGCAGCAGCTTATGAGCTCCGCTTTGATCAACGCTACGTCAGCACAGGTGGCCGTTACCAGAGCGCATTACCTAGCATATATTAAACATTGCTAGCCTCCATACGCTTAACGATTACGGGAATACGGCCTGTACGCACGTAGTTACGCACAATTATCCACCAGTCGTAGCTTGTACTAGCAGAAAGCGAGATCCTCATGCCTCACAAACGTGTTCGCACTGAGAACCTGACGAAATGACCTCGGACCTAAGCTCTTATCGACTGCTACGCAACGCTAACTGGCTACACGGACATTAGTAAGCTTATCGATACGTTCACAAAGAGGATTAAAAAAGTTGAATGTTATAGCAATTAAAAATATATGATTAGCTAGTAGCTTGTTATCTAAACCTTCTATATTGGACATATGGCGCCCTTCTAATACAGCATACTACTGTAAATATACAACAGTAATAAATTATATAATTTTATGATAATAAATATACACACAATGCTTACAATGATCTATTACGTTACTGTAACATATAAAGTGAAGCAGTGTTAGAGCGTCCATTTCAGTTACGTAGTCCTGCAGGTGACCGCAAAGGAAATTGGCTTAAAAATAAGACATCGTTACAAATCCGTAACGCCTGTTACGCAAATGACTAATACCCGTTTCCCATACATGCAAAAAGGCCAAATGCACACTAGGTGGGCTCCCTTAGAGAGAAAACAATGGCCAATACTGATAAAAGCGGATGCAAACTTGGAGGATTCAGAAAATATTGTTAGGCCGCGAATCCGCTTAGTCTGTACAAGCTTTCCATCCGGGTTAAATTTGATCTATGTTCTACGAATATCTACGAATGAACATTTAACTGTACAGGTACTGTTTATTTGACATTCGATAAATTAAAGTTATTAATGCTGAAAAAGATGCCCGCATGTAATTTACTGTCTAGATTTATAGTAAAAGCGGCATTGCAACATACGGGTTGGCTTGAATTAGCAAGCTTTTGCGCTACGTCATAGTCTACCCGATGACACGAAACGACGTTTCGGATGCTGCGCTTTTAGTCACATTGTAGCGTAGGTCTTTTTTCTACTTAAGGTCGGCTTTTCCACCATTTGTGGTTTGTTAGTTATTCTAATTTGCCTTAATAAGACTTTGTCCTCGCTCAGGTCGATACGAACGAGCAAGACACGCATAACCATCATGACATTATATATTTTGGAGTTTAAAGTAAATGCAGCACTCGCTTATTATATTAGGTGCTGTGTTGTAAATTGTACAAGCGTACCGGTTCCCCGAACTAAATGTCATAGTCTACGTGTATGCAGTGAGTTTCAACTGTGAGTCGTTCTACACTTTCCACAGATCAATTTGAGGAACGAAAGTGTGGAAGCAACAATTTTTTTGGGCGGAGTTTGCACAAAAAGGCCACTTTGGGTTAGGCCTCGATGAACCTGGCACTTCATTGATCAGTTGTGAACTGCCGGCCGAGGAATGGTTTGTCCCTTCTTCTCTCCGTTGGTGTCGCTTACAGTTCCGCTTTGAAAGACAGCCCCCTTTACAGATTGCTTGTTCTCGTCAAGCACCTGATCAACGCTCGCACTATTTCTCTACTACTGACATGTAGTGTCATAATGATGTACTTATGTATATTCGAGGACTGTGCAATACAAATATGGTTAGATTATCCTCAGTGATCAGGCTTAAGTCTACGCACTCTGTTTAGGCGCCACAACTATTTTCAACATTGTTGGTGGTAAAGCGGCTCTTTCGTAGGATTGTACCGACTGATTTGAGTCTTTCAGCAAACTTCATTGAAATTTTGCAATCTCTCCGAACGAAAAATTCTGAAGGTCGATACAACAATATACTGAGCATAGTTAACTATATGAGTTTAATTGAATGGCAGCGCGTGGCAATTTCAATTGCGTCTGTAAACAACGCTGTCCCATCAACATCTTGATCGCCAGCATGTGACATGGTTCAATCCAGCACAACGATATTGTCAATGCCCAATCTGTTGACCGCTTAATGGCATTTAGGGAGGTCATGTATGAGGCAGCTAGAAACAAGGATGCCAAAGATTATCGAGAGCACCTCACAGATTCATTCATCATGCCAGAGGCTTCTCCCGAGACCAAGTCATGGCAGCTTTCGCGAGTACAAAACCTTAAAAATTTGTAATGACAGGGCACTGGGGCGCTTCTACACTTGAAAGCAATTAGGGCTAGCGTGACGCCAAAAGCTGGCCAGTCAGCGGGCATCGCGTTGCGAAAATTGTTTGCCACAAAATAGAACGGATTCGAGCTGAGTATAGATATAGCACCAAACTGCAACTAAGATAACGGCGTTAGGGCTTTGTATTTGAAATAACACTCAACAACACGTTTACGTAAAGAGCACTTTTTCTGAATTCGTCTATAATGATTGCGGTTGATTAAAATATAAAAGGGGTACCTCGGCGAAAAGCTACTACCAGCACTAAAATACTGATGAATCATAATCTTATAGTATCTTAAAGAACTTAAGCACAAACAGGTAAAAAAGGCGGGTATATCTCAACCATGCTTCAGGGGGTTATGCGATCAGGTGTACCCGCTGAAGTCGCATCGTCTGCGCCTTTGTTCGTTGTCAAAGCTATCGCGCTTAATCCTAATCGCCCTTATCCGACAGCAATAAGCATCACAGAATATATATCGAAAGGGCTTGTTCAGAACACTTAAGCGACGCTAGAAATACTACAGAATACGCCTATAGTTGTGGATTGCGATTACCGTTGTAGCCTTCGATTGAATACGCCTACGCAGTAGTTTTTTGTTAAAAAAAAAACCCTAGCACCGAAAACAGGTTTTTTTAAAGGCTGAAGTACTCGCAATGTTAATAAATCTTTATTGTTATCTTTTGTATATAGAACAGCGAAGTTCAGGCTTACATGGCAGAAACAGTAAAAATCCGTGAATTTCTTTAATAATGATTGCAATTTATTAAACCGAAGGTTTTTATTTATTATAAATAATACACATGAAAAACATCCGGTGTGCCGGACAATGTGCTTTGAAGTAAACTTCGCAGACAGTGACCGGGAATATAATTCATTATTCTTACTACTATTATTAGAATAATTAGATGATACGGTAAAATACGGGTTTAGCTGTCAATGGGCTGAGCGTTATCGACGGCTTGCGAGCGCAAGTTGAAGGCTGCTAAAATGATTGTGACGGCACTCTCATCCGAGACCATCTGCCTACTTTGGGCCGAACAGATATGCGTCTTGTTCTGGGGTATTTCAAACCGATTGAAGTAGTGTGTGCGACCACCTTGTTTTGCATTTTCTCAAACATACATGTTCGTAGCTCACATAACGTCGCGGTGAGCTTCCTTGTAGTGAATGATCGTATAAGAGTTACTCTGCGTCGTGCACTTTTGTAGGTCGCGATTGGATTGGGCGTTGGTTCAGATATGTTCAAACGTCGGGTAGGCTCCTACTATGAACCAACTACGAAAGCTTCCGTGACATTAGTTACCGTGCTACTGTATGTGTATTCAGGCGATACCTTGATTGCTTTCGATGGATCAAAAGTAACCAGCCTTATGTTCGATGATATTTTAGGGTAAGTGTTGCCCATATACATATACAAACAAAATATATACATGTATATATAAAATAAAGCGAGGTTTTGTTGTAAGAAACATATATGAAACCAGCAGTTCAAATATTAAACGAATAGGTGTCTATTTTCGTTTTCCTGGGTGTTTCTTTTTCTTGCGTAATCGGCATACGTGTTCGTGATGTCTAAGTTCTCATTCTAAGTTTTCATTGAATGGAATGAATATAATTTTGGGCATAAATACCTTTTAACGCATTTAGCTTCGGGCTCAGTTACTCCGGCGGTGCTGGCGTGAACATCACGTCGCACTTTCAAGAAGGACGTTCGACTCCAGACTCATACGGCGATACCCTAGTTCTTATCGATTCACTGCGTAATTATTTTACTATAATAAAATATATATCTGAATTTATAAGAACTAAAGTATCAGTTCGGAACATGTGTGTTCGTGATAACTGCGCACAGAGACCATGTCGTTAAACTTAGGCTTCTTGGGTGCAACCTCGTCTTTAGTACACATTTTTCCCACAGGTTCAGCCGAAATCAGTATTACTACAGAGAAACATTGAGAACGCAGAAGAATGGGGTACAATTATATATACAAAAAAAAATTAGGAAAAGCAGAAGGATTTACTGTCGGATGCCTCGTGGTGATGTGGCGCCTCTGTGCCGGTAAGAAGAGCGACGAAGTGGTTTGAGTTGCAGTAGTCATTGTGAGCGACGGCAGAAGAGCCGTTTCTTACACTGCGGCAAAAGAAAAACAAAATCGTCAAGTCGTTAGTGGACTGGAGATGTTTCAACGTAAATAATCTTGGATTCTTTCTCATAAAAGATCGCTTTCGTGCAGTTTACTCTTTTCAACAGAGTACGCAAACGAAACTACGATATACTTCTGGGTGGCTGATTAGCGTTCAGAGCGTAGTGCTGTAGCCTCGTTCGAGAATCGACCTGAACTAGCCATTCAGTGTCTCTCTCTTATTAGCGATTTCACCCTGGAAAGGCTTCTTGGAGCCGGTGCTTTTAGGTCTATCTACAAAGCAAGATATAATCCGGGTATGTGTATAGGTTTAAACGCGTTGGTCTCGTGTTCTGCTTGCATAGCCATTGTTACACATAAAGATTTCTCAAAATCGTTGCATCTTAAGTCCCTTCACCGCTGAGGAGATTAGCCCAGAGTTTATTATTGACCATTGCTGGCCGCTGTCCTACGCGACGTGAGTCTTTCGATACAGATTAATAGAACAATACCTTCAATTTAGGTCAGAGACAAGCGTGATTTAGAAGCTGCTAAACACCACTGAAACTTGTTCGACCTTCGATTCTATTATTCCAACTCCAATCCAAAGTATTCCCACATTACAATTCTGTTAGGTTTCCGAAAGTGGCCACTGTGTACTGGAACCGATATCGCATGCTGCAAGCTACGTCGACCGATATTCATAAGCAAGTTCAGCTAGTAGACATTTAAGTAGGTTTTATTATTAAGAACTGTATCTATGCGTATTATACGGTTTTGTTCTGTTACATCTGAATACATTCAAAACGCGCATACCGAGCGCGAGCTAATTACTGCAATTGATCAATTGATGCCTACTTCCTACAGACGAATATTTATTTGGGACAAGGAAGAACTTTATCAAGCCAGGCGAATTACTTCCATGGGTAAGGTCACCGTGGCGGCAAGATTTGGATGAGTACGATCTTAGGGCCGTTTTCGTGAGCTCGACGTACTTGGAAGGAAGGGCAGCCACTGGTGGATATCTTGCAAGACCTATACCCTCTGGGGCTGTTCTACTCATGACCTGGTCAAATTCGATATGAAGCAAAGCAGACAGGGACAGGCAGATAGACAGCAATATCAGCCAAAATTCTAGTTAGAGCCTCTAGCTAAGAAAAGGAATAACGGAAGCAAATTATATACAGTGAGGCGAAGATGCTTTCACCTTCTTGCCCCCGATGAATGGCAATCTTTTTTGTCTGTAAAGAAAATTGATCTTGCCCGCCCTAATGAGCAACGTACGAGCATTTTGAATTTGATCAAGCAAAGCTTATTGGTAAAAAGAAACACCAGATAAGATATTGTTATATGAGTATATTGGGTATAAACAAGAGCCAGATACCAAGAACGTTTTTAATATTTTTTGTCGACGACTACTAAAAAATTAATAGTTAATTAAACACCGTTGGGCAACAACAATAACATTGACGAGGGCGTCTAATCAAGCAACAAAGAGAAAACATCGCGCAAAATAAGTGTTGTGATCTGACTGTACATACCACCGATCTGTCAGACCATGCTGATACGTTGATGCATAACTTCAGTGGTCGAACGAAATAGAAACTGTGCAGCGGTTTAACAATTGTCTGTAATCCGCCGCTTCTCTTCCTTGAGCCAACGGCGAGCATCGACACTACAGCGTGTCGAAAGGTTTGGCAATGCGCTAACAGCTTTTCAACGCGGAGTAGGTTCACCTCACGCGTGCATGCTGACTTCTCGCTCGATAGAAGAGTGCGAAGCGCTCTGTCAGCGTATTGGCATAATTGTGGCGGGTAGGATCCGTTATATTAGCTCTTTACCAGATTTACAACTTACGTTCAGACACAGCTTCACTGTACTGGTGAAGTTACCAGTTGATTCACCTCAGCAAAAGAAAGGAGTTATTATTGACTTCATGTATTTTATGTATGTATGTATGTTATTCCCTAGTGGATGCCGAAGCTATAAGGTGGTGTACAACGAACAGTTCTGAATGTATGAAAAATGCTGTTTTGATTGGACTAATTCTAAGTGAGACATTTCGCTAGAGATATTCAAATCTTTTTATCGTTTGAATTTTTTGAAGAATATTTATCCTGAGTTTTTTCCTTAGTTTCTGCGTAATGAACCAAAAAAACCACAGCGATCCACGTTTCCAAGTCCTCAAGACTAGAGACATCGGAGATGTTTCCGAGATTGGAGATTCTAAGATTCTACAGTTGTACAAATAAATGTATATCGCGCGTGCCCTTGATACCACATGTAAATTAGCGGAATTTTGTTAACCCACTGATTTTGCACTACGGCAAAGGAGAACGATTATTTGCCACTCGTGGTACCTGTGGAATGCGACATTAGAAATGTCCGTTTGAGCTGGTGATCGATAAGACGGAGATAATGGCTACCGAAAGGGAAAGTCATTGTTTTTTAGTTTCGCCGCCTGATAGGCTACATCCTCCCTGCCAGATTACCCGAACTTCCAGAACCACAGAATAACCGTAGTGGTACTTAATTTGATCAAAAAACGCTTTAGTCTTAATTTGTACAATTCTAGTAAAATGTACGTATCACAAGCATTGCACATACACACAAATATTCATCCTATAAAATAATTCAATAAAAGAAAATATAGCTAGCATTCGTGTTCTGTGTTATTGTTTACTCCTGCATGGATTATTTTTATCTATTTGGAGTTTAATTCACCAGCCATATTTCTTAGTAGATCCCGACAAGTTTATATTTTATCGTTTCGACTCATATCATCTGTTCGATCATGAAAATACTTGCCTTTCTAAAGGAACATACCTGGATTGGTCTGTTGTTGAGAAAAATCGGAAGCTCTTCCCCGTGTGTAGCTTTTTATGGTAACAACTCCCTATTTTTGGTGATACGGGTTCCACTCGCATAATGCTGTGCATATGTAAAACCTGAGTAAATGAGGTCGAAAAAGTTAGGCGTGGTAAAGCAGATTCTTGTAGGATGCTGCAGCGACATATACGGTCTGAATATGAAGGCTCTCACATTTACCTGCAGCAAGCCTACAGCAGCACTACGAAAGTTTCAGTAGCCAATCTCAGCAGGCCTGATTGTATGAGAAACCTATTCGCCTAAAAGCTGGATGATGTAATCTCGAAGCTGCTGTGGTCAGCTAAAAACGTCACGTTTGTCACGAAACGTTGACCCATCTGGAGAACGAGCTTTGCTATATGCTTCATAACAAATAAATTTTCATAGAGAATTCACCATGCAAAGCTTCCCGCATTTGTTAAGTAGAAACAAATGCGCACACCAATATCCAAGGTTTTTGATCTCTACCAAAATCCGTAGTTCAGGTTATCACTTTGGCCGGGCCACCCATACAGTATTACTATACAGTAACATGTCCACGTTCTAGACAGCATTGAACAAAGCTATAAAGTGCAGCCTTGAGTCAATCGTTATACTATTGGTCGGCATGCAATCCTAAGAAAGAACAAAAACGATACGTCGTCGAGGCACCTGAGGCTGAGTTTGTCGCTGTAGTCAGCGTAAATCGAGCCGAGTTGACGTCTCACATCGGTCCATTGAGAATAGCCAACAGAGAAAAGTCAACTGCTGACCTAGTATTACGCTGAGAGAATCTCTTTGTTACTGAGATGAAAAATTGCCAATCAGAATTTTCTCTGCTATCTATCTTTAGTGCGTTGTGCCTTTATTTTGTTTGGTAACCGAAAGCTTTCGAATTTAGTTTATAAGCGATAAATGTGCATTGCTGTCCCTCTATCAATTGTTTCATAGCGCCATTTGAATTTATAGCATGGCAGTAGCTCATAGAGAACGAAGCTGCTGAGGTGGTTGACGCTTGCGACTGCTATGTTCTAGCCGATCGAGTCGTTTGAAATGACGCGGGCATATTTTTTAAAGTGAACGCTTTTTGTGTGAAACCACCCCGGAGTCTTTGGCAGTTTGTTTGTGTCTGTTTTAATGTCTATATAATTGTTAAACAGATCACCATATCGAACAAGATCTACTTATCGTTTGGAATTGAAATGAGCGTAACCTAAAAACGTATATATATAGCGCGACTATGGCGCTATTTTTTTCCTGCTCAAAGCCGGGTTGAATTGTCATAAATAGTGATCCTCTTAATACATTAGCCAAGCGATCATCTATCTATCTATGTATGTCTGTCCGTCCGCATATATAAAAACTATTGTGGTTAATTTGTTCACGGGAATATTCGTGAAATATTAACACCCCTTACAAGTATCAATGTAGAGGTTCGATTTTATCAATGTCGCTGAACTAAGCTCTGAGAAGTTCCGTGAATATGGTAAGAAAAGTTTGTGTCATGAGCTACTCTTATTTTCGCACGATTCTAAATCCATCACAGCTGATTACGCTTCATCGAAGCGAATATGACTGACGAGGTAACAGTGGTTGCTGGGTATCACATAATGATCTATAGACGTGGCTAAGTGAAGCACGCAGATCTGAAGGGAGAAACAAAAGTGGTATTCAAATTCAACCAAAGAGTGGACTATAAGCATGCATGATACATGGCAGGCGTACCTATGCTGTATTCGACTATAAGGTGCAATCATTAAAGGAGCGACTAATCGTCGAAGTTAATGGTGTCTTCTTCTTCTTCTTCTTCTAGGTAATCGAAGTCAACTTGTTATCAAGAACGTCTATTCATAGATGTTCGTATTTGATTGCAAATGAAGCTTTCAATGATTCACCTGTGTCAGCAATTGGTTGCAAATACTTCATCAGGCAGGATGTGCTGACATATACAAATATACTATGTATATTAGTAGGGTTGAAATTTATATGAGCAATATCAAGGGACAAATTTGTACGTGATATCAAATGCCGACTCGAATGGGAGTAGGAAATTTTGAGTCTTCGGTCCGTTGGCAGCAAGCAGAAGGTCTGCCGCTCTCATGCCGGTCATAAACTTCATGCCCAGGCGGGTATGCCGATTTGTCAGAAATAGGCGTTTTTCCTCAACGGAAAAAGTGTTTTCCTCCGGGCGCAGCCAACGGAGCACTGATGTTTTGTAATGAAATTACGGCTTTAGAATTGTTTTACAGAAGTTATTCAACTCACTATTTAGTTATATTTCTTCTTACAGACCGTAATCAAGCAAATACCACGGTAAAAATGTCACATCGATTTTCCTTAAGTTATCTTGATTTTCATATCTTTTTTAGACAAAATAGGCCCTTTATTTGGCTTCTCATTTTTCGGATTGTACCTCTACGCAGGATAGTGCACTCCTGCAGAGCCATATTACGGGCGTTTATTCCAATGGTTAACAAGTGTCAACTGGATGAAGCACCGCGACAGTTTTCTATGAAGGAACAGAGCCATCTGATTGCCCTACGACTCCTGAACGATCTCAGAAAGTAGGCATTTCCTCTGTTATAGAAAAAATTGTTATTTTTTTTAAGTTTCTCATTGTAGACTTGGTTCCGCTTAAGTTACGATGGAATGAAGATATACATTGATACAGTGGCTATAGCCATAAGAATATAATTCAATAATTTAATACCGGCACAAGGACCAATAATTCAACTGACTGATTTTCAGATTACCATTATATTTACCGTTATTACGATATAACCTTCTATGATGGCGGACAGGTGTTCTCCGTGCCGGTAGTTGATGAGAGGGAATAATATAATTTCTCCTTCCAATCTCTAACCGTACTTTATGGCTGTTAATAATATGATAATATGGACTAAGATACTGGTCCAATATATTAGCATTATATTATCATATGTATATCAATATCAACATAATAGTGTCCTACTAAAACAAACGTGCACTGTCCTAAAAGTGGCCTAAAGACTAGTTGTAATCGTATAACAAGCAAGCCATGCTCTTCAGTAGGTTCTACAGCGGTTAGCGCAAATGCTTTTTTATTTGTTTATTTAAATTTTTTTTATCTAGTATTCGGGATTGGTGATATCGAGATTACCGTAAAGTTCGTCCCAGCTAGAAAAATTAGTGTTACTTTCAACATATGCATATTCTACTAATTCGGAAGTTGTTAAACTCTTTGGAAGTCAAACGAAGGAAAGCTTTAATGGTTCATTTTTGCGTTAAGAAGAAGGTAATCTTTCATATATTTTACCAAAGGTAGGCGTTCCAAGGTTTCCTGCATCGACAAACGTGAGCCATCCATGTTTGCCGATGCAGGCATCTTTGCATATTTTGTTGTACAAGACGTGCGCAGCGTAGATCTTCATAAGGCGCTCAAGGTCTCTAAAGTGTTTCCTAATGATGTGCTGCAATTAGTGGTCGCTAGGCTAGGACTTGCCATTCAGCTTCTACATTTCAAAGGTTCTATTCATCGTGATGTTGAAGTATGCACACCGTTTTACATGAAAACCCTTTATATATTTCTCTCGAGTATGGAATACTGTTAATGCATAATTTTCGCGTTCAGTCAGCTAGCTAATGTCTGGCTGTCCTGAAATTTTGTCTATTTGCTAGACTTCAAACGCAGTAATTATGCCTGATTGCCGCGTTAAACTAATCGATTTTGACACTGCTAAGGCTATGCGAAGGCCGATACGTAAGCCTGACTGCCTATTGACAAATGAGACGGTTAAAAAAACCGTATGGGAGAGCCATCGATCGGTATGTATCCCTTCGAGTCGTGCGCGTGTTATCGTCAAACGCGGAAATGCGAAGTAACGAACTGCTTAATTTAGGAACTTTAGGAAAAGCTTAATTTAGGAAAAGGATAAGAAGCTTTGAAATAACGGCGATCTTTCCGCACACCTAGTCTTGTACATCTGGTTATTAAAATGGAGCTTATTAGAACTTCCACAGGCCGATGTGCGAAAATGCGTAGCTAGTTTCCTGCTAACAATTGATCCAACCTAGATGGGCTGTCGGAGTGACCGTGTTCCAGCTGGCAAACGGATGGACACCCTTTCGTAAGACAAAAGTGGTTAGTCAGCTCCAAGACAATATTTGTCAGGGTCGGTTGAAACAGAACCCTGTAGCTCATCTGCAACCGGAGGACAAGGCCCATATGTCAAGCCTTCTTCACCGCAACCCACGGGGTTACCTTCGAAAGATTATTTAGGTCAATACTAGCCAACGACTTCGCCTGAGGCAGAAAAAAAAGAAGCAAAAATGGTTTAGCGTTGAAGTTTTCAAGGTCAGTAAGGTGCGACGTCTATGATGTCGCAATAATGAAAATTCGATTAGCGCTGCCAAGTCCAGTGTTAACTTTAACATTTCTGACGATGTCTAGGAAACGTTTACTGTACACATTACGGACTTCCTTAAACTTGTCCTACAGGATTGGCACCGCGACTAGGTTTTTTAAAATACGATCTGCTTTTACTAAAAACAGTATACGTATTAATCACATGGGCAAGCCCGTGTGGGTCCGCTAGGTAAAACTTAAATTAAAAAAAAAGTGCGCTTGCGTAATCCTATAGGAGGTGAAAAAGCATAACAAGCTGTATACTTTGACAGCAAGACGCTTCTCAGAGTGCATTCAAAAGCATAGAGCTGATATAGTTGTCGAAGCGGAAGACGTCTTCGAGGAGCCCGAACTTCCTACAGGCCTTTCTCTTTAGCCTTCCTTTTTTTGCGAAATCCGAAATACTCGTCAAACCAGTCAGTATCGCATCACAGACGCAGCAAAAGAGCTCAAACAGCCGATTCTCAACAAGGTGTTCAGTCTCAACAGCAAGGTACTCTTTGTGTGAATTTCGCTCTAACTTTAAATTAGTTAAATAATAGCAAATTTAGCTTGTCAAAAGCCGAACTTGACATTGTTCATAATGTGGCAGCAGGGTCACTTGCAGTATAAAGCGGGGTTCTTCGCAGTATGTACTCGCGTTATTTAATCTTAAAATAAAAAAAGGTAGAAAATTTTCATTTTACATTTTCTGCGCACAGCAAAAAAGGTTTTTACTGCTGTAGCTGCTATAGTTTGATGAATAATATATGCGATCAAAGCCTTTCCAATAAATATTGAAACTGGTATCATGCCCGATCGAATATTTTACTCATTCATTGCTAGAACTACTCGGGATTCTACAGGACTTTTAAATCCCTTGATTTTGAATTTGCAATGATCTCCCACGTTTTTATACATACAATTTTAAAATGAAGAGAAGCGCGTTTATCCTTTGCCTATAAATTTCATCGATAGAAACTCTGCGAGCTATGAACTATAGAAGATCCAAGCAGTTCTTATACAATTTACCAAGGCTTCAGGTCCAAAATGTAAAATTCGTATTTTATTCAAATAGTTGTAGTTTTAATTGTTTTCGATGGGAAAATGTTTTTTGGAGCCATCAAGCTGTGGGCGTTTGTATAGTTTCCATTTACGCGCAGAAGCCAACGGTCTCACAGCAGGCTGCTTGCATACATTTCATTTTACGATTCTTCATTTATGCATCATCCGTTGCAGGCGTTAAAACAGTTTTCTGCATTTTATTACGGTCTCTTAATCATAACGTGGAAAAGGTAGTTCTTGCCCGAGCGATTTCGGAATTGTCGTTAGCGTAGCACGATACTGGAGTTCAACTCAATTACAAAATCAGGTTCCGGTAGTCATTCAGACGATGCGTAGAATGAACGCTCATTCCAGGGTAACTATTTAAGCAATTTTTGTTATAAGCTATTACAGCGTCCTATTTGGGTTTTTTTATTGTTGACGTCTTACCGTCATCAAGTTTCTGATTGAACCATGGCGGTAAAATTGAATTGGTATATCATCACGACAACAACCATGTTTTCAGATTTTCCCTGGCGATGTAATCACAGGAATATCCTTGGAACCTGTCCCGAAAATTATTACGCCAGAAGTGCTAAATTACTTCCGAACTAGAAAGGATTTTCTTTTGGTAAGTTATTTTCAGGTGACAGATCTCTTGTTGAATGTTTTTGTGCATCCCTAAAATTCCGAAAATTGTAAGTTTGTACACCTTAAGGTAGCGCATTTGTTGATGTCACGACAGATATTTAACATAATAAAATTTACGGACGAAAGGTGGATTAGGCTTGCGTGTATAAGCTTTTTTTTTTATCTCTAAAATATGTGAACAATAATATCGGAGGATCGTGAACGAAGGTCAACCAGTTAATACACTGAGATATTAATAGCTTCGGGTGGCACTAGTATCTGGTTTGCGGGATTTGCGCGGCGGATACGGCTCCGGTGACGCCGAAGAGATAGAATGGCTTGAAGATGAGCTGTTCAAGAAGATCAAAACGGCCGGGTACGGGACGAAACAACCGTCTTACTTATCGGATTTGAAACTCGAGGAGGCTAGTCGACGCACTGCACTTTGACGTACCAGGACATGATGTTGCAAGTCAAGCACCAGGAATATAATAAAGATACAAAACAATGCAGGGAGGTTATAGCAGACGAACCGGTCTTGACGTGAGCGATTTTTCAGCTATTTGATAAACAACATGTGCTTAAGATGCAAATAAGCATACTTGTATTTCGAACACTCTGCGGAAGTGAGAATTCTAAAGAGCACGTGCATTTGGGCAGTTGTGTTGCAGCTCACGGCCAATTTCGTGTGTGTTTCACATGGATTTTTTAGTCTGCAAAAAGAATTTCTGGATCAGAACATTTGTGAATTAATGATTTACAAGTTAAGCTCGAGTACATAGGAAGTACTTACGGTGTAGATTCAATACCCTCAATCCTATAGCGCAAGATCCTAGCATTCACCGCAATGCATCCGGTTAGGAATACGTCGTGAAGATGGAACGGCCGGGTGTGCAGAGCAGCTTTATATGAACGGAGCGCCACATGACCAGGCATACCTGCAATAAAGCCAGAATTATATATGTATATATATATATATATATATATGCATATAATAACGCTATGACAATTTAAAGCTGATCCAGAAGTATTTGCAGCTTAGTTTTATTAACGCATGTGTTGTATATATGCCCGTTAATGAGTTCGAGTCGATCGCGCCCTGCTGGGCAAGAACAAATTCATCTAAAAGCAATTTTTTAGCTGATCTTCCTCCCAAAACAACACAAGTTGCTATCCAAGGGGTTTTAAAGATGATACAGTTACCACACAGAAAAAAACGATCAAGAATCAAGACATTTTTGCTAAAATATCCAGAAAGTCCTTACAGAAATTTAGTGTGTCAAGAGGTTTGACCCTTGTTAGCTGCTAGGTTTTTAGGTAGCATCTCTATACAGAGGCTCTTTGAGATTCTATGATATAAAGGAATTTGCACGTTTAACATTTGGAAGTTTATTGGAAACTGACCGTATGTGTAACACACGGCTTATTGCTACGGCATGCTAAAATTCAGCTAAAAATAGCTGTAAAGCTTAGCTCGGTATGTCAAATACGGTCGGTTTCGGGTTCTTAGTATTACCTGACAAACATTAAGGATAAATATCCAGAGTTGGAGTTTTTTTCACGAACTGGAACCTAAAAAATGGTTTACGCAAATACTTCTTTAAGTGTTTGAGCCATGCGCTTCGCCAGAAGATCGAGAAGAATAGTCTTCATGTGTAATATTCGTTTGCTAAAAATTGCAGTTTCTCATCGCATCATATTTGATTTAGTACTCACGACTATTTCATGAACAGTTATGTTTTTTGGAGAACGGCACGGTCTCCTAGAGTGGACCTGCATCAGTCTACCTACCAAAAATCTAATAACGTTACTAATTATCTGTTAAACAGCACAGCTTATATTCTAGATAGGTGTAAAGTGTCAAACGTTGCAACACGTGCAATATAGACATTTTACCTGCCCAATGATTTCCTTCCCAGCGACAAACGCGTGGGCATATTTTGATTTGAGCCTGTCGAGTTCAAGCTGAAGCTTGGCTATACGCTACATCGTGTCGTCGTAGGCATTCACCTTCAGCATTTGAAGTCTCATTAGACTGTACACACGATTAACGGATTGATTTAGCTCTCCCCGATGCTCTATAGAACAGATGCCTCCCATAGCTAATGTTTTCCTTGAAAGTATACGGTCATAAATTCAGCAGAGACGATCAATCTATAGCTATTCCAAATATATCACGATAGAGAGTGTAACGCTGTTCGAACTGATCAAATGCTACCGCAAAGTGAGCTACGCTCAGGAGCTCGTTACAAACTACACGTTCAGAATTATCGTCGAGTCTCGAATTGGCCTTAAACTCAGAGCTTCAGACTTATGGGTCAGTTTTCACCGCGGCAGTAAGAATGAGATAGCTGTAACTAATTGGCTGATGAGAAAAACAACCTTTATGAAACCTCTGTTGTTCACTACGGCGCTGAGTTGCTTTTAAATTTACGAAAGTTGGAGTTTTTTAAAAGAACTCCTAAAAAACCTAAATTTTCATTGACCATGAGACTCGCGAGACAGTCGATATTAACCGATAAGCTATTTCCATAAAATAGCCTAATACCGATCGCCTGTGTCAAAGGTGTACTTGTTCGTCCTCAGGGTCAAAAATATTCGTTAGGTTTGATGCTACTATCCTAGGCAATACAGAGAGTTTTGCACACTACGATTGTATACAATTTTTCTGTTAGTGTACGTTGCTGTTAGTCAATTTATTTTACTGTAGTACTCACCAAGCAGACAAGTTCATAGTGTGAGAGCCTACGGGATAACCTGAAGGAGTCAATGAAGTCGAGCCGAAGAAGATCACCAAAAGACTCAGCTTCTGCTCCTAGACTAGCCGGCAACATTAGCGAAACAAATAATCAACTAAGGTCAGTATCTCATTTTTATGCGTGAGCTAATAAAACTCCAAACAAATTTACTCTTTCGGGCAATATCAATTAGATAAAGAGTATTTCGAGTCGAAGGGTGCTTTAAAGATACTCAATTTCGGCTCACTTTTTTGTAACCTACGTTTGGTTATAACTTTCTGTTGTTTCGGCTGTCTGTACACCCAATAACGAACACTATTTGGACGTTTCCTAGATAGATAACTTGAAGCGCCTTGGCCCATGTTTCTCGTATGCTGTTGCGTCGATCAGTATTATTCAGTGCCGATGATATAGTGACCAGATATTCAATATCGCGATACAGATTTCTCGGTAGCATCATCTCGCTGTAGTTATATTCATACTTGTACGGAGTTAATATTACCATCAAGTTATGTCAATACTATATAGTAATTTAGTTATTTCACATAGATCTTGCATTGTCACTCATTGCATAACGCTATTGTGCACACACATATTTGATCTGCATATAATTCATTTACTATTGATTTACAGCTACCGTTAGGAATCAGTCACTCAGTTGTTGAAGGAAAATAATGTTCGATGTACACCGGTACACCTCTGATACGTAATACTAGTTTAACTTCAGGAAAATTTAAGCTGGAAACTTATTTACACAGTTGAAACTGAGATTCAAAGTACAGCTGACATATAAATGCTTCTTATTTCACAGTCCTACATCGTTACACGAATGACGTCAAAGACCTTGCGTGTAGTGGAAGGTCTGTCCAAGTTCATACAGAGGACTCGAATATCGATTATTTTAGGTATTAGAATTTTTCCATCGCAGACATTCCTTGTGACAATTTATTTTTTTGTATTGGAAATAAGCCAAACAACAAAAAGGTGTATGGTTCAACTAACACAACATGTAAATATCAAACATAACAATCACGAAATGGAATAGTTGAGGCTCAAACCAATACGATGTATAATACTCATTAGGAGCGCCGCTTTGAATACGTTCCTGATTTTTCTCCTTACGATAACCAAATCACATCTCCGAACTTAACCCTATCAGTAAATCTTTACCAAATATAGGCTGAAAGCTAACTGTGGTCGAAACACAAATCGAAATGCGGGCAAATTTTCACAAAAGACCTGTAAGGGTCATTCACCCAAGGAAAACCTAGGTATTCCAGCATTGCTTTTCAGATCGGCGACAAATCAATCAAAGACGATTCTGTGAGCACACGCGTGACTTCACCCTCCTTCACTATTTGTAGTGTACGATTACTTAGCTTCTTAAAATCTACGACTACGGTATTTCCGTCAACTCTGTTCATAGCTAGTTCTGCATGATTACCTCCATCTCTGCAAATCGTCGAGTTAAGCCAATGTGTGTATTTCTTAAAAAAGAGTGATTGTGTCACCCATGTTCAAGGCATCCAATGTAAACCACACCAAGTCCTGAGTACACTTTGATTACTTGCTCGCAAGCTCTAGATGGAATCAACCATACAGTGTCTCGAGAACAAATAAATATTTTGAATATCGACATGTCTTTGATTAGAGCTATCGATATTTGTTTGGAGGAGATTTGCTTCATTGGATTTTCGGGCTTAAATGGGTTGGGTCTAGGTGATATTCAAGTTGAACACTCAATGGTTAAATTCTTATTAAGCTTGTAAGTTCGGACAAACGAGAAACGGGCTAGGGGCATGCAAGCGTGCGCGAAAAGCCTTGCCATCTGTCTGATGTTTGGTAACAGAGACAAAATTTAAAAGGTACAATAATTACTGATTAAAGATTTACTTAAAGCCATTATATAATAAAATCTAGGAGGGGTTTGCCGAGTCTTTATAGTATATTGATTTTAGCGATGTTTAGCTTAAAGCGTTTAATTAATGATACACTAGGTAAAATATTTTTCTAAGAATAACTTCGAATGCTATTATTTTTAGTAAGTGAAATCCTTGCTGCCGCCCTAATCGCTCGAGTAGATGAATCGGTTTGAAACACAGAGGTTTATAAATAGGTATTACATGAACCTCTACACAATGTACATACGCTGAATGGCTTCCTTAAACGGCTTAGTTGTCAGGTGAATAGTACCGACTCTTGGCTTTTATGTGTTTGTCAGCTTTGAATCCCCAGCCGTCCGACGTAATACTTAACGCCGATACCGGACGTACTATTCGAATCATAAGGAGTCCGGCAACCTTACCTTTTTTCCGCATGTCAAAATAAACCATATAGGAATCTCACCTTAGGTCTAACCTCCTGTAGTACCTCGAAATAGTACAGAATCACGTATACAAGAATGATTAGAGCACTTGCCTGCGTGTTTCCCACTAATTTGCGTAACAGAAATTTTATTCGTCCTTTTACTAAGGCATCAGTTGTGTGACATCATCGGTTGTCGACAGCTGAGATAACCGACAGTTGAATGAAGCCGTTGAAGGACGCAGCAAGTCTGGGCAACAACGAGGTGGCGTATGGCGCTATTTGCGGCCGCGTAACACGAAAAGCCTGAGGGACACAAAGTTGACACAGAATGTAAAAAATTACGCCTAATCAAAAAAGGCTTGGCACCAGGCGCCACTATTACTAGTGAAAAAACCTGAACTTTTAACATACGGGCTCTGAAACCAGTACCGATTATAACTTAAATGGCAAAAATAAATGCGGCCGCCTTATTGAGTAAAGAAAAATGAACGAAATCCCTGAGGCCGACCTAGTACGGCCTGTAATCAGGCGGTCAGATGCACCCTAATCGAACACCATGAGTACCGAACGCCATGACTTCACATGCATTCTTCATAGGTACTGTCATTTAAATACAGAAAAAAGAGTTGATTTTGATTTCTTAGGTAACAATTTTTGATGTGTTAGTAAGAATCAGGTTGAAAGAATTGATTATTGAAACGAGGAACTAGGAGGAAATCAGCAGTAGTATTTATTAATTCTTTCTTTATTGCTGTGTGTTGTTTATTGTACACCTAACGCTTCTAATTCTCTCGACTTGATTTTCCACAGAGAAACAGGAAAGTGAACCTCGTGCCTATAAGTTTCAGATCTTCAATCAGTTCAGAAAGGAGTCCCACTTAGTTTGAGGTATT